TATATATATATATCATCCTATCATAGACTAGTTTAATAGTTCATGTATACTGTAACATATGTAATACAGATATAGCTGCAGATATAACTGCAAACATATATCTTTAAATTAAACATGTAACAAGTCATGATTATGGTATATATCGTCCTATTACATAATAGTTCATATATATTGTAAGTTATGTAGTAATGGTTTAGCTATATAGGTTCAGTACATATAACTGCACACATATATCTTTACATTAAACATTGAATTCAATTAGGAAACAAGTCATGCTTTTGGTATATATTATACTATCACTTAAAGGTTCATATATAATGCAAGTTATGTAGTAATGGTTTAGCTTTTGAGGTTCAGTTCATATACCCGGGACCATTTGTATCTATTTGTCTTCAGTGCACTTATCTGAGTGCGGTATCCACAGTGCTATTAATTTATTTTTTGGGAATTACATTTTTTTATATATTTATATTTATTTATGAGATTTTATATCATTTTAACTTGATTTATTTATCCTGCCAATAAGCAATATTTGCTTGTGTGTAATGACTGCTGAAAACAACACAATCCATGCTTGTCCAATAAAGCCTGTGCTGTTTACTTCTGCAGTAACTATTATTTATTGGCAGCAGATATGCTGGGTCGCAGGAAAGGCACACTTTACACATGCCACTAATAGTATTGTGACAGGCTGCACATAATAAAAGGGACAGATTTAATTATTATTACGGATTTTAGTGGGTATAACTTTGGTGCCTATTAGACTACACGGTCATATTCATACAGCCTGCACAACTGCTGTAAAAGTAAAGTGAAGGTAAGACTATTCAAATTGGGACTGTTAGTACGGCGTCTGTCATAAACAATATCTGCTTCTGTTACCACAGACTATATTTAAATGTATTGTATACCTGTAATGCAGGTAAAGCTCTAAAGACAATTTAACATGTTCAAAGAAGACACTATACCTTCCTTGAATGTAGCATTTTTCATCCCCCTGGGTGACCCGGAAACCCCTAAACTCTGGTGTTAAATATCTGCATAGCAACTTGCATGTTTGAGTCCTGGCATTTCATCCCTATATTTTTTAGTTCAGTGCATTAGCTTTATTAACCTAAGGAAAGGCTGGGCAAAGGTCCTAGAATTCTGTCCAAACTGGCAATAAGCCTTATCTTCTCTCAGTGCTAAGTATCAGTGATCAGTAGAGGCCTAGCATATAGCAGATGAATGAATATTTGTTAAATTGGACAGAAGAAATTGAGGCTTTGTGTACAGGGACAGATGAATGTATCTAAATACTAACAGAGCAAATTGGAGGCACCACAGTGTGTCTGCACTTTCATAATATTTTATTTTAGAAGCTTTTTCAGCTAACATATTGTTATTTTATATTTTAATTAATTGCACTGTCCCATTGCTTTCCTCCGTGCTCCCTCTTTTGATCTCCTAATTGCACCATTTCACTGCTTTCCTCTGTGCTCCCTCTTTTGCTATCCTCATTGCACTATTCCACTCCTTTCCTCGGTGCTCCCTCTTTTGATCTCTTCATTGCAGTATTCCACTGCTTTCCTCCGTGCTCCCTCTTTTGATTCCCTCATTGCACTATTGCACTGCTTTCCTCTGTGCTCCCTCTTTTGACCTCCTCATTGCACTATTCCACTGCTTCCCAGGTGCTCACTACCCATTACTACCCCTCTTTACTGTTCTGAAGGGTTATAATTACTGAGCTGAGAGGTGCTAAAATAAATAAACCCTACACCGTTGAACTGAGTACACCACAGAGAGATTTTCCATGCCGTTCCTACGCTTGGGTATGTTATGTTATAAATCACATGGCAGAGTACAGGAGATATATAGGATAGTGTCACTGTGCTGTGCAATTAACAGGGAGCCTAAAGCCTAATAGTGAATTCTCATTTTAATTTCAACAATAATTATCATCAACATGGTTGATAGCAAGAGCGGTTAAAGAAAGGGCTTGGGCAGCTTGAAAGCCAACTATTGCACTGTTTTAGGGGATACTCTTCAGGGGCAGCAGTTTTGTTCAAGCTTTTTATTGATTTCTCAGCTGTTCCATGTTGCCATGGACACTAAAGAAAACACAAAAGCGTGCAGAATTAGAATTTTGTGCTAAAGCTGTATTTCTTCCAGATCTGTACAGTAATCCTGTGTGAAACTTTGCCTTTGTGCAAGAGCATCTGTAATAAAGACCAGTCACTGCTGCTCTCTCTCCTTGTGCAGGTGACAGGTGTTGTATATGCCCCCCTCCTGTAGTTTTCTGCAGGCAGCCTGCAGTAGGTGGACCTGCTGGGTCCCTCCCACAGTTCAGCTCTCTGAGGTATTGATTTCACTGTACATTACTTTTGTCACATAGTGGTAAAACAATACAACCATTTTCAAAGGTGTCTCATCTGTAGAGAGGTATTAATATAATACTTCAATATGCTGAAAAAATGCAAGGTTTAATGCACAAATAAAACACAAAAGGGCGCAAAAACCTGAGTGGTAGGCAATCTCACAATGGATGCTAACTTGTTTGCAGAAAAAACAAAAATGTATATATGCACTTACGTGTGGATGTGGGGACCAGAGGAGAGGCAGCCTTGGAAGAGGATCGAGATGTCCGAGGTATGTGTTCTTTCACATGTCTGGTCTGCTGTCAGGAGGTGCCTGTCCAGGATGGAGAGTGCGGGGCTGAGGAGCGAGGGAGATGGAAGGTCAGGGACTCCGTCCCTATCACTGCTATGTGAACGGGGAGTCAATGCGGTGTGGGCAGAGCTCGGCGGCACTTGATCCGACTAGGCAACTGTGATTGCGGCTGTGGGTAGCAGTTCTCAGTATGGAATGATGTCCTGTCCCTGTGGGTCTGGGTGAAGCGGTGTGCAGTTCGTCTGGCCGCAGCGATGGAGAGAGAGCTGTCAAGGCCGCAGACAATCACGTCGATTATGGTAAAGGACTCATGGATCGCGGGGGAGCAACGCGTTTCGAGGATAACCTCTTTGTCAAGTTCAGACAGTGTCCTGTCAAAGAGGTTGGTTAAATCCAATGAATCCTGGCATTGTAAATTTAGAATATGCCAGTGCCATCAGGGAAGAAAAAATCCATTCATGGAAAAACCTGATAATTCACTATATTCAGGTAGACAGCTGACCTTAATTTTTGGGGACATAACATTGCTGGACCTAGACCTATTATCCAATGGAAGGCTCTTACATATTTCAGACAGGCAGCAGATTGGGAGATCAGGACTTTTGTCTGCTCTGCCTAGCAACTGATGACGTCGTAATGGGTGGGCCGGTGTGAGGCCTGGTTCACACCTGGGCGTTTTACAGCGTGTTCCTACACTCTGTAAAACGCTCAACATGTGAAAACCAATGATTGCCTATGGGTATGGTTCCCACCTGGGCGTTTTACATCGCGTAGGAACGCGCTGCACAACGCCCTACGCCCAAAGAAGTACAGGAGCTTCTTTGGGGTGTATTTGCCGCGCATATCCATTGGGATACAGCCAGGTAGCCCTTGGAAACGCGCGTTTGTCGCGTGGTTTTTTTATACGCAAAAAAAAAACGCACATATTCGATACGCTAGGTGTGAACCCAGCCTAAGTATTTATGACAGCCTGCCCATCATCAGTTGCTAGGCAGAGCAGACAAAGGTCCCGATCTGCCGATCTCTGCTGTATGTCTTATCTCTGGAGAGATAAGGGAAACCAGGAGAATGAGGGAGGAGAAGGGACAGGACACTGGCATCTTGCATCTCCAGGTAGGGAGCGAGCAGTGCAGGCTCAAGGGGCGGCTGCTTAGGGCACCCACAACAATGATTGGGCCCAGGGCAACTGCCCCTTTTGCCCTGCGTTAAAGACGGGCCTGCTTGTGATCCAGTCATGCCTGCCAGACAGTACAG